TTTATGCCATAACATTTCTCTTTAAATATAATGATCATATAATTGTTTCTGAATAACTTTAGTCCCTCAGATTTTGGTTTCTGAAATCATTGATGAGGGGTAAATCTTAGTTTCTCTATTTGGTGACTGATTGAGCTTGGAAAGTTGTTTATGTTCTCTATCAGATAGTTTATCATCATGGAAGAAACAATACTGTTTCTGGATTATTACAAGAACTTTTAAAAGTGATGATCTCAACAATATGCTCTCAAAAACAAGCAATGCTATAGATATATTGCAATACAAATTACTATATATTATTACAGATAATATTACTTCATCCAGACACAATGACCCAAATGTTTGCTTGTTCACTTTGTTAAAACTTCTTGTTTGTCCAACAATTCACTAAACTGTGGGATACAATAAAATTGTCAGTTCAAAATCTGACCACTAACAAATGCAGCCTGGGATTTTATACCATTGGAAGTTCAGAAATAATTTCAGTAAAACAATAGTGTGATCGTTCATGCAAACACATTTACGTGATATTTTTACCTTCAATTGTTCATCAGTTGTTTGATCTCTTTCTATATTCTCATAGGCTTTTTCTTCTCTTTTGAAGACTGGAAATCATAAAAAAAAAGACTATCCATAACAGCTGCTTTGAGGTCATCTACGTTTGTTGGCTGCAGGTGGAAATCTCCTTCGCAGAGCTCTAAATAGAATGTTGTAAAATTTGGCCTTTGAGGGAGCCAGACCATACCAGCCTTTTGAATAATTTATCATCCACAGAATGTGTGAAAGTGCTTTTGATCTTTGAAGGCAATATTTTTCAAAGTGCTGTGGTGCTTATATGTGATCATCAGTCCTTCTAAGGAATTGCAGTATCATACTGCTTTCAGTGATAAGTGAAGGAATGTTTAAGATTGTACACTACGATTAGACTTAATTGAGAGACTAGATCCAAATTTGAAGATTGAGGTATATAAATATGCTTTGAAAACAATAAAGCACTAAGCAAACATAAGCCATTTTATCATGATCATTTCCATCATGTCATATTTGTCAGATTCTTGATTTCACTGAATTAAGTTAAAGTTCATTGCTTTTAGCCAAATTCAAGTGCTAGTATTCTAAAATATATTCATACTTTGCATTTTCTTTTAGTCTTCTAAGGAATGCCTTAGAGGCACAGAGTGAAAAATTTGGTGTCATAGAGTAAGTTGTGGAATATAGGATTTGATTTAAAGAAACTTTAAGAAAATTTTCCATCTTTCTGGTATTTTATTTCTGTCAGTTTGCATTGCTTCTTTCCTTCCCTTCTCCTCCTCCGCCAGGTTTGGTTTTGAACTTCAGATTCAAAGAAACCCCAAAGTCAAAACAAAATGGTCAGAACTGCTGACTCTTGTTTTGTAACCTTTTTTAGTCCAGTATGCACAGGAAGAGATGGGGCTGACCAGAATTTGGGCCTTGGTTCAGGCAAAATGTTGGCAAAATTCAGGAACTTTTGAGAGAACTTAAGCCAAGTTATAGATAGATAGATATATAGCGAAATCTCACCACTTTTAAGAGTGCTTAAAATAGCTCAATTAAATAATATAATTTAAAAAAACTTAACATAGTTCTTAAGTGAAATGTTAACTTTCTAGATCTTTTTGACAAAAAATTGATCTAATATATATCTTGTATAAAATGGGTTCTTTTATTTTTAAGGTCACAGGTACAATTTGGAACTGCACATGTAAAATGTATTGGTGGCTTCATCTTCTTTAAAGTTTCTTTTGCAGACTTGTAATTATGAAGAAAAGAATCCTAAAATTTTGCTTATCAAATTTCATCCCAGAATTTTTGTAGTCATGTTATAGGTCTCCCACAAGTGTTTTTATAATGGAAATGATGACAAATGTGATAATAAACATCAATCCAAAATTCTTAATTGTATGTTCATGCAGGAATTATGCATACTAGCAGAATATTTGGTTTGGTTTCCAGCAACGCATTTGCCAAAATTTGCCTTTGAATTGGGCAACTAACTGTAAAAGATGATCAGTTCAAATGGCTCCCTGTTGATGGAAAAGGCTTGTGATTATTTTACTTTCCTTGGAAATGTTAATTATGTCTTTCAAATATGATTTCATTTAGATTTTTTCATGGTTTACATTTCTGAATACTAATAGTAATCTGATAGTTATGGGGAACTTAGTTTGAGACCAAAAGGCAGTTTTCAGTCAGTAAAGAGCACATAAATAAATCGCCTCCAAGCAATGGTGTTTAGATTTAAATGTCTAAAAAACTTTAAAATTAAAAAAAAATCAACTATTGCAATTTCTAGAAGTAATTGACACCATTAGGTTTTTAAAGCCTGGTGAGAGTTATTAAAGAGTCAATGCACACTCATATTTCCATTAATATGAACAGACAATTATAAAGAAGGAGCAGTTTTAGCATAGTGTGTGTTGATTGCTACAAAAGTTTTATGAAAAAAATATACTATATGGATCTAACAGAACCACTTGCTTTAAAAAGTTGAGGGATCAGAAGACCAAGGTGCATTGAACTGAAGGATGAGCTATGGACCATCTTGTTTTATCTATGAATGATTCGATGTGAAGGGTGAGCAAATCCATTTCTGTGTCTCTGATCCTTACTAGGCTTCAAATTATTTTACTAGTACAGTTATTAGGTAAATGCCTTAAATGACTTTATATTTTGGGACATGTAAAAATTTTTAAAAGCAAAAAAATTATAAAATGTAACAGTTTTAGGATAGTGGTTATAATTCTTGTAGTAACACTAGAGACATCAATTTTCACCTAGAAGCTGTTCAGGTATTATTTATCAAGCTGAAGAGGCATTCAATATAGGAATGATATGTGCCTATTAAAAACATATCAGAGGAGACTAGAATAGGAGGAAGAGAATTAAGAATGAGGGGTGGCTGTCTTCACCCTTTAGGACCCAGTGATGCTGATGGGCCATGGTCAACATAGTTTTGTTTTATTTTAGTTTTTCAAAACTGATTTTTTTCAACAAAGTATTAGGAATTCTTAGAATTGAGACCTATTTCTTTTTTACTTATTCAACACTTGAAAATTTTCAGAAAATGATAGTTTCTAGGAGGATATCAAGGAATCTTCTGTAAGTTTTTGATATCCATCAACACACTATTTGCAGAAAATTAACACTTGATTGAGTGAATGAAACGATGAATGACTGAATAGATAAACTTGGGCAATTGAACACCCATGAATTGGGGAGCAAAATACTGTTCAATGAAGAGTTAAGAAATAATTAGTATTTCCCTTTCACATATCAATGAGCAATGTAAATTGTATCTTAAAATAGAAACATGTTATTGTAGGTATCTACAAAGTTTCTTAGAGGAAGAGGAGTATTTTGCTTAATAAACTGACATAGAAGTCATTGTCTAAGTCCCAGTTTATTTTAACAAATGTGGTAGAGAATTAGAAAGACATGCATTCCTGGTTCTGTTGTGGCTTACATTTTTTTCCTCTTACCTGTACATCTTGATATTTTTATGGCAGAAATGGAAAAAAAGTAAAAAAAAAAACCTGAAAAACTATTGGAGGAAGGATTTTTATTTCAGAACGAATCCACTTCTTATAGAAAGGAAAAGCAGAAAGTTTTGAATGTTCTAAGTGCTGATGAAATCACAAATTCTTGAAAGGTTCATGGGACAGAGTATGAACTAGCAGGATTTAGCAGCAGGAAAATCTGGCCATTAGTATTAACAAACTACATGTTCACTTAATCCAGGGATTTCAATTTTAGGTTTAATATAAAAATTATAACGAAGACATAACGAGTGTTCATTGTAGCATTATTTATTTTTTAAAGGAAATATTTCAACTATCCACCTATGATTGTAAAGTATAATAATCAGTCACATTTGAGTAATATTGAAATTCAAGGGAAAATACCATTTTACAATGCCAAGTGAAAAAATTTAAATTTAAAAATATCCCAGATTTGTTAAATACATTGAATATATAACTGCACATGAAAACAGACTAGGTTGAAACAGATGAAAATGTGAACAGTATGGTAGTGTGGAGTGATTTAAATTTTAGTTTTTGAACTTCTGTTTTGCAAACTTTTCAGAATATATTAGTTCTAAGTAAAATGAATTCTATTTTATTAAGAATCATAAAATTATGAAAGGGAGAGTTGCATGCGTGCTTCAAAGCTGGTGCAGGCGCGTGCTCAAGAAGGGGCAGCATTTTCCCTGCAGAATTACAGAACAGTATCACCTCACCTACTTAGGCTCTTGGGAGGACCCACCCCGAAGAAAGAACTGTGCCACTGAGTCCAAATTTTTGCAAAGGCTTATTAGACAGTATCTCTCTTCGGATTTTTTTGCCTCCTGTTGTATCCCTAGAAGTCCTTAGAATGCAAGCTACCTTCCCCACTTTCCGCTAAAGGTTTTACTACTTGCGCTTTGGAGCCACAAAGCTCGGGAAGCCGGACCTTTGAGCCACAATTGGGGTCCCTAGCAGGCAGGAGGGTGCAGAACACCTGAGTCCCCGCTGGACTCGGGAGCCAAAAGGGCTTCCAACTCACCACTCCTAGCTGGGCCAAGAACAGAATCCTTGGCAGTGGGCGAAAGGTCAAAGCTGCTGCGAGGTGGCCTGGGCTAAAGCCTTGAGTGAGCGACCCTGCCACCTTTTGTTTTGTGACCAGAGGAGGCATCTCGGGGGCCCTGGCACTGCAGCTCAGCCCAGATCGCCCCACCCAGTAGAGTGGCGGAAGGGGAGGCAGGGAGAGGAAAAGTGGGGGGTGGGATGGGAGGGTGGGGAGGGTAGAGGGGGAGGGCAGAAAAGGGAAGGCAGAAGGCAGGAGGGAGGAGAGTGCAGGAGGAGAAAGGGGGGGGGGGAGAAGGGGAGGAGAGGGAGGGAAGGGGGAGAGGAGAGGGAATGCAGGGAAGGGGAGGGGAGGGGAGGGGAGGGGAGGGGAGGGGAGGGGGAGAGGAGAGGGAATGCAGGGGAGGGGCTGGGAGGGAGGTAGAGTGAATCCTTTGCCAGAGGCGCCTTGTGGCCAGCCGGCGCCTGGACGGCCTGGCTTCGCGCTGACCTGTCCTCTCCCCGCGGCCCCGACAGCCTTCCCGGCATGAAGCCCACCCCGCCTCCGGCTGCTCCCCCACCAGGGGCGCTGGCCACACCCGCAGTTCGGGGTGGATGGCTCAGCACCGACTCCCGATATTTAAAAAAAAAAAACCTAAGAATTTCTATTTTATTATTTCTATGTTTTAAACAGTAAGGAGCAGCGCGGGACCCGGCCGCTCTGCGTGCTGCCCTCCTGGCCCGTGCGCCCCGCCGGCCTCGCCGGCCCCCAGACTTTGGCTCCTAACTGCCCCGCTCGCCCCAGCCCTCTTCTCGGGGAGGGGCCGGGAGGACTGTGCACCCCCAAAGCCGAGCCGCGGAGTCCCGGAGCCCGTCCTTCCGGCTCAGCCCGCGCCCTTCTGCTCCGCGCAGCTCTGCAGCAGCTCGGTCATGAAGGAGATGTAGACGATGGCCAGGCGCAGGGTCTCGATGCGCGACAGCCGCTTCTCGTAGGCGAAGGTGGGCACCTTCCTGCGCAGCCGGTCGAAGGCCTCGTTGAGGTTGAACATCCGCTTCCTCTCGCGGACGTTGGCGGCCTGGCGCTGCGCATAGGTGATCACCCGCTTCCTCCGGGGGCGGCCCTGGAGCGCGGCGGCCCGCGCGCGCCCGTCCTCCTCCTCCTCGTCCGCGTCCGCGTCCTCGCCCTCCTCCTCCTCCACCCGCGCCCCCCTCCGGGGCCGCCCCTCCCGCAGGGCTAGCGCCGGCTCCCCAAAGGGCACCCCGGCCGGGAATTCGCAGAGGAGGGGGTGTCTCGGAGAGGCCAGGGACAGGTCTGCGACGAAGTCCAGCACGGTGGCGTCCACGCAGCTCTCCGGATAGGCCGCCATCGCCTCGCCGTGGCTCTGTGTCTCATGGACCTTTGCAGCAAGGGGCGCCTCACCGCCTGCAGACCTGGCAGGGCACCATCACCGATCGGCCGGGGACAGTAGTGTTTATAGCCCAGCCGGTGACAGGATTAGTTGCGCCGACGCTGAGGTTCTGGCGACGTCCCTGCCCCAAAGCCGGTGGACAAGCAGGCGTCCGATTGCGCACGGAAGGCTCGCGCTCCGGCCTCCAGCTCCCAGATCCTCTGCTGGGCCACTCCGGACAGTTCCTTCTTGGCAAAACCCCCAGCTCTTACCTGCTGTGCTTTTTGTGCGCCTGTCCTCACCCCTGCAGCCAATATGAATGTTCTCCAGGCGCCTTATCTCGTGTAGTTTTTTAATTTTGCCCTGGATTCTCAAAGCGAGGATGTTTTCCACGGCGATGGCTTCTCCTTGGCTTCAGGATAGGAGTCCTGAATCTTGCTAGCAACTGCCAGTGGATGCGAAGCAAGTGCATGTGCTTTGAAGGATGTCCCAAAGAGGGGCCCTTCCTGCCAGGGGTCGAGGGGAGCTGTTTGTCTGGTAACCCAGTGCAGCGGCTGCTGAAAGGGAAGACCTTCCATTAGCCTAAGTAAGCATGGCAGGGGGGCCCAGAGCGCATTCCCCACAGTCGCTGTTGGAACCCGCTTTCTTTCTCCCTCTAGGACTTGGGCAAACATCTCTCCTGCCTTGTTAGTAACTCCGACTTCTCTCCAGTCTGTTTGGATGCAATCAGGCTAACAATTGAGATACTTGACTTTCCTTCCCCAGCCTTAGCTTCTATTCACGTGGAAGATTTTATTCGAGGGAAAACTTATGATGGAAATAAAACGAAAGATTAAAGATCAAAAACATTTTCCCTAGTTGGGCTTTACTGCAAAATTTCCAGCGCTGGGGACGAACAAAACCTTCTCCCCAAGCATGACTGCTCCATTTGTCTTTAATAAGCCAGAGAGTAGGTTTTCTCATTCTCTGCTGAGGAATATTTGGGATTTTAAATTGCTGGTTCATTTGTAATATCCCGTAGTAGGATTTAAGAATAGACATCATACCGTATTTAGTTCTGTTTAAGGGATTTTGGGCTATCTTAAGATAATTTTTGAAGTAAAAAGGATTTAAAGTTTGGTATAATGAAAATGAACTTTATCGATTTTATGTTATTCCTTGTTATAAGAGTTCGTGTTTTTTTATTTTGTGGATGGCTCTAGTTAATTAATCAGTGTAAAGATTTTTTAAGATCCCAAAACGCACAAAAATATGACCAAAAATAATTCTAACTGTGGACTGCAAGAACACAGAGTTACATCGGTTCCAGGGAGAACCCCAAAACCCTCAGCCTCTATCAGGCAGGAAGGTCGCGGGTGCGATAGTTCATTCAGCACGTTGGACAGCTCCCAGAAGCCAGGCGTTTCTAACAAGCAAGTTCCTTTTTTTGTAATCTCTCAATATGTAACCAAAGCAAGGATTTCTTGTGTGTTTTTGTGAGTAGTGTAGGGTTAGGCAATTGTAATGTACTGAACATTTCAAAAAATTAGACGAAGAAATTTTGAAAATTTTCACCACAAAGAAATGACAAATGTTTGAGAAGATAATGCGCTGTATTTGATTTAAGCGCTATGTAGTACTGACACATTAAAACATTATATGGTTCTCTATTAACATGCACAGATTTTATGTTTCCATGTATTAGATAAAAATAAATTTAACTAAAAACACAACATGACCTTGGATTCTTCAGTTTTTGACATCATTTTTTTGTCCTTCACTTGATTGTCTGTACTCTTGCTTGTGTTTATTTTTTTGTACAACAATTTGTATTGTGATGACTAAGACAGAAAAGAATTGAAATTTTTGTTTCTGAAAGATGTTATTGAGAAAGAAGTCCTTTTATAATTGCTTATTTGGGTTTTGCTAAATTTCTTGTGAAGGGAGGGTTGAAAATAAAAACTAATAGAAATGTCAACTGTGGCTCAGGGACCAGAAAATGAGAGAGATTAGTTCCATTGTTATGTGTAGCAATATGATTTCTGCTCATTGTCTAACTTAATGTTTTATTAAATATATGAGCAAAATTTGTAGCTAATCTTTTATTATGTTGATTACATATTTTTAAAAAAGCTTTTAAATGTATATCTAAGAGACCCAATATCTCAGTCAAGTTTGAATCTAATTCCACAAAATACATTAGAACATTTAATAAAGGGAACATGATAAACACTAAGGTTAACATTTAATAAAATAAAGACCAGAAACTGGGATGAGACTCTGAGGAGTCTAATATCACAAAGGAAATTGTAGCAGATTTGATGGAGTCAACACCCAGGACTGAGTCAAAATATCAATTCAAACCATTAAACATTTAGAAAAACAATGCCTTAATGAGTGTATATATAGCAATAATGTAAAAGATATCAACATTTAAATTCCATCATAAAACCTCAAGATAGACACTTAGGTTCACTTGATAGAAATGTATATTTTGCAAGGTTCTAATCACACTGGCACAATTAGAACTAAAGTGTTGGAAACATAAAGATCGGCTCTTTAATTTCTAGTTATAGATTATAGGTAAGATGAAACTTTTTTTGTCTATTTTGAAATGTAATTTTCACTTTGAAAAAGCTTCCCTGAGAAGTTGGTGCCAAGTGAATATGTATAGCAAGCACAGACATCTATAAAGAGCTAAGTGATTGAAAACGCTTCATCTTACTCGAGGGAATCATTATTTACATTTTTAGATTTAAAATTAAGAAATAAACACTTTTAAAAACTCAATTGAGGATTAAAAGAAGCTGTCTTCTACCTTAGTTCCACTAGGCCTGTGGTTTATAGTTACTGACACATATAAAAGTTTTTCTTAAAGAATCTGATAAATTCTTCACCAACTTCCCTCAGTATATTTCAAGAAATCAGAAGAAAAAGTGATGGTTTTTCTTATTTGATGTTCCACTTTGTCTCTGTTGGCCATCTTCATTAAACATTTTGTGTGTACTTACTAGAGAAATCATTATTTACATTTTTAGATTTAAAAATTAAAGAAACACATAAAAAACATTCAGAATCAAAGTAAAAAAGGCAAGTGACCAGGTGACCTGAGCAACAATTCTCAAGGAGGGCTGGTGGGGTCGGGATTGAGGGTTGTAGGTAAGCAAAGAAGAATCAGTTTAAAAAGAGTAAAGCAAGTATCTGATTCCTCCACTGCCTTCCTTTTTGTCTCCTTTCATGCTCCTTCTCTTATTGTCTCCCAAAAGTAACCACTGTGTACTTTTGGGAGAGATGATAAAGCGGAGTCCAGATTGCAGTGGAAATGGGGTAAGAAGTCGCCCTTTACCTGGCAGAGAAGCTTGAGCTCTCATCCTACTCAATTTCAAATTCTCTATGGTTATGCAGGAGGCATAATTAGAGATAACATGTGTATATATTTAGTTTTTCCATTTTATAATTTACATTTAAAAAGTTAAATATGCTGAAAAAATTTACAAATCTCACGATTTATAACAGATTATTATGTAGATTGTAATGCACAGATTAATAATTTTTTAGTGAACATACCAGTGTAACCTGTGCCCAAAGCAATAAATAGGGCACCAGTAAATCGGGCACTTGAGATAACATAAATAGAGATATCTTAAATGGAGAGCTTGAGACTACATTTCACAGTGAGCTTACCAACATAACCCTCACTCAGATCAGCATCATAAGCACCAAAGTCCTCCCTCACTGTCTTATGTCCCAATACCCAATCACTGATCACTCTCCATGGAATTATTTTCTGACTTCTGAAATGAATGTAGCCAAATTTTTGAACATTAGATAAAAAACCCCTATGCTCTGTATAGTCTTCTGTGTGTTTCACCCAAACATTTTGCTTACGAGATCGATGCATGTCATTTTCATTGTGAATATAGCATTATTTATTGCCTTTACCTTTGATGAGCATTTGGGAACTTCCCAGTTGCTATCTATTACAAAAACAAGACTTTACATATTGTTATGTATATCTATTTGTGATAACATTGACTCATTACTATTCCGGATACATATAAAAATGGAATAAATTATTTATATGTTAGTATTAGTAGTTACTTTCAAAATCATAATTTATAGTGTCACCAATTCACATCTTTGTCATTTCTAGTTATTTTCTATATTTTAACTTAAGGCATTTTGAATGTGTGTTTGAATAGTACATTGTGGTTTTAATTTACATTTCCTTAAGACAAGTAAAATTGATCAACATTTCCTGATAACCAAGTAGGTTCTGATTTCCTGGTATGAAATGTCTACTCAACTGTTTTTCTTTTTAAAAGTTTTTTCAAATTCTTTTTGGATATAGGTATTGCAAGTACCTTATCGCATTCTGTGACTATTTTGTCTAACCTGTTTATGACATAATTTGAAAATTTAGTCAGATTTGGTGGTTCACAGCTATAATCTTAGCATTCTGAGAAGCTGAGACAGTTTAATGACTTAAAAAGCCCCTGCCTCAGATAAGGAGGATGGGAGTGGTGGGGTGTAGCTTGGTGAGGAGACTCTGGGCTCAGTCCCCAGTACCAAAAGAAAGGTTGTATCTATTTTTTTCTCATATATATTTGGGCCTATTTCTGGGGTCTTTTTAAAAATTTTCTTGGTCCATATGTCTGTTTTTATGCTTCTTCTACACTGTTTTAATTATGTCAGCTTTGTAGTAAGTTTTGAAATCAGAAAATGAGTTTTTAATATCTTTTGAAAGAAAAGTCTTATTTTTCAGACAGATTATCTAAAAATAATAATTTTTAAATGTGGTGCTTTTTATACCATGTTAAAGAAATATTAATATATTCCAATGTCATAAAATTAATTTATGGTTTTTGCTAAAATGTTGTCTCTGTCTCTCACACATACCACCTCCCACACACATCATATTTAGAACTAAACCAGTCTATAAATGGTTTTGTATGGATGGTATGGGCAATAGAGGGGGTGGTCAAAATCTATTTGATTTTCAATAGAGAGCCAATTGGCCCAGTGCCATTTATTGAAGGCCATCTTTACCTATTAAACTTATTTATTAAAAATAGTTATAAGCAAAGTGGGTACCTTTTCTGTTCTTTGAAGCTGCAGGATAATATTCAAGAAGTGTAAAAGGAAATTAATTCTAGCGTTTTCTGTATTTAAAGTCAAGAAAATTTTTATATCGAAATGAAGATCTTGCTATTCTAATTATAATTCTGAGTTAAAAAAATAAAGGCTCCGTAGACTGAAGTATTTCAAGGACTGATGACTAATAGGTGAAGTGGTAAATAATTTAGGCCTTAGGGATTACACAGTGTCTAATGTAATTAACTTTGTTTTCATTGTATAACAACAGCCACAGACACCCTGCAAATGAATAAGCATAGCTGTCCTTATAGTTTGGATTTGAACTCCCAAATGCCCATGTGTTACAGAATTGGTCACCAGTGGGATATGGTTTGGAGAGGGTGGACTTTTGAAGAGGAGAGGCCTAGTGGAAAGTTTCAGGTCCTCGGAGACAGGACCTAAAATCCCTTGAGAGGGATTGTGCACACAGTACTGTCATCTTTCTCTCTTTCCTTCTTATTCATCTAATGAGCCCTTTAGTTCCATCATATGCTTCCTGCGTGATACAGTGCATCATCACAGGCTAAAAGCAAAAGGATCAACCTTCAAATGCGCTACAATAAACGTTTTAAAAATTAAAATCGATTATCATAAGTATTTTTTATAGTAATGGAGAGTTGATTTATGCAGATATATTCTCAAAATTTTATTTATAAAACT